CTTTGAAGTTGTTCGATATGCCCATTGCACCTCGGGCAACACTTCTCTCCATTTCCCCTTCGCATCATCTAACCTTTTCTTTAAGTTTTGAATTATGGTTTTGTTTGTAGACTCTGCCTGACCATTTGCGCTTGGGTGGTAAGGCGCCGATAGGATCCTTTTGATTTTATGGTCCTCGAGGAATTTTGTTACTTTGCTGTTGATGAACAGTTCCCATTATCACATGCTATTTTGGCAGGTATCCCGGACTGACATATGATGTGGTCCCATATGAAGTCGATGACTTTTTTTTTTCTCTTATCTTCTCGAAGGCCTACGCTTCAACCCACTTTGAGAAGTAGCCAGTCATAAACAAAATAAATTTAGCTTTACCTGGCGCTGTTTGTAGGGGGCCGACGATGTTCATCCCCCATTTCATGAATGGCCACGGGGATAGGACCCAATAGAGTTGTTCACCGGGTTTATGGATCATCGGCGCAAAGTTTTGGCATTTATCATACTTTCTGACAAACTCCTTGGTATCCCTTTCTATGCTGTCCCAATAATACCCCGCTTTGATCACCTTGCGAACTAGAGAGTCTGCACCAGAATGGTTCCTACAAGTACCCTTGTGGATTTTTCATAGTACGTAATCGGTATCCCTGGGTCCCAAGCATACTGCTAGTGGTCCATCGAAGGTTCTTCTGTACAACATTCCATTTTCATTGAGTGAGAATCGAGCTACTTTGGTTCGATATGTTCTCGACTCCTTTGGGTCTGCGAGGAGCTTCCCATGCTTCAAGTAGTCGATGTGCTTATTCCTCCAATCCCATGTTAAACTTGTTGAATTAATCTCTGCATCTTTTTCGACCACCGACTTTGATAGTTGGACGACATTCCCCAGGATGATATCATCTTCTTCAACTGATGATCCCAAGTTTGCAAGTGCATCAACCTCGCTATTCTTTTCTCGAGGTACATGATCTAGCGTCCTCTCCTTGAAGTGGTGCAATGTCACTTGAAGTTTGTCCAAGTACCTCTGCATTCAGTCGTCTCGAACTTCGAAGCTCCTGTTTACTTGACTTACTACCAAAAGAGAGTCACATTTTGCCTCGATGACCTTTGACCCAAGGACTTTGGCTAGTTCAAGACCTGCAATCATGACCTCATACTCGGCCTCATTATTAGTCAATTTAGGAATTTTGATAGATTGCCTGATGACACCTCCCCGTAGGTGGTTTTAAAACAATGCCGAGCCCGAACCCTTTCATATTCGAGGCACCTTCAGTGAAGAGGGTACATACCCCCGATGACGTACCCGTTTTTAGTAAAAATTACTTTTCTACTTCGGGTACGAGGGCAGGCGCGAAATCAGCCACGAAGTCTGCCAAAATTTGAGACTTGATAGCCGTTCGAGGCCGATATTCAATATCATATCCTCCAAGTTTGATGGTCCATTTGGCCAATCTGCACGATAATTCGGGCTTATGCAAGACATTTCGAAGTAGGTATGTAGTTACCACACATATATGATGGCATTGAAAGTATGGTTTTAATTTCCTAGATGCGCTTATTAATGCAAGGGCTAACTTTTCCAAATGGGGGTACCTGATTTCAGCATCTCCTAGGGCCCGACTCACATAATAGGCAAGAAGTTGTGTACCTTGCTCCTTTCAGACCAACACGCCACTTACCGCTACTTCGGACACGGCTAGGTACAAGTAGAGTGTTTCATCCTCCTTCGGAGTATAGAGTAGGGGCGGGCTCGAGAGATACTGTTTTAATTTTTCCAAGGCTTGCTATCATTTTGGAGTCCATACGAAGTTGTTCTTCTTCTTGAGTAGGGAAAAGAAATAATGGCTCTGATCTGATGACCTCGAGATAAATCGTCCTACGACAGCTATCCTCCCGGTCAGCCATTGTACTACTTTCACATTGTTCACCACAGTGATATCCTCGATAGCTTTGATTTTATCGCGGTTGATCTCAATCCCCCTGTTCGATACCATGAAGCCCAAGAACTTACCTGAGCCGACTTCAAAAGTGCATTTGTCGGGGTTGAGCTTTATGTTGTACTTTCTTAGGATATCGAACGTCACCTACAAATAGGTCAAATGGTCCTCTGCGCGTAGGGACTTAACTAGCATGTCATCAATATAAACTTCCATAGACTTACCTATCTGATGCTCGAACATCTTATTAACTAAGCGTCGATATGTGGCTCCTGCATTTTTAGCCCGAAAGGCATTACATTATAGCAATATGTACTATACTTCATGATGAATGAAGTCTTTTCCTGGTCCTCCGGGTTCATTTGAATCTAATTATACCCAGAGTAGGCATCAAGAAAAGTAAGGATCTCGTGGCCAGCCGTAACATCGATCAATCTATCGATGTTGGGCAGTGGGAAAGATTCTTTGGTGCATGCTTTGTTCAAATCCTTGTAGTCTATACATATTCTAAGTTTGTTTCCCTTTTTAGGGACTACTACTACGTTAGCTAGCCATTCGAGATATTTTACTTCCCTAATGGATCCTATCTTGAGAAGTTTGGTTACCTCTTCTTCGATGAATACATTCTTTACCTCAGACTGAGGTCTCCTCTTTTGCTTCACCGGTTTAAATATGGGATCATCACTCAATCGATGGGTAGTTATCTCTGGTGGGATTCCTGTCATGTCTAAGTGGGACCAGGAAAAACAATCAATATTATCGATAAGAAATTGAATGAGTTTTTTCCTAAGTTCGGGGTTTAACCCTGTCCCCAGGTATACCTTTTGTTCTGGGAGATTCTCGACCAATATGGCCTGCTCGAGTTCCTTGATTGTGGACTTCATCGCATCCGACTCTTTGTGGGCAATGAAGTCTCGGGGGGTGAGGAAATCTTCTTCTGCATCCTCAACAACCTGTTCATCGGACACTTGTCCCTCGGGCTCAACCAAGGACACAAGTTGTGATTGCTATATGGCCACCTGTTCATCCTTCGACTTTTTCGATGTGGATGGTGCCTGTACCGGTGCCAAGTCGCGTACTACAAACATCTCCTTAGCTGCATGCTGCTCTCCAAACACTGTTTTCACGCCATCCTTTGTTTGGAACTTCATCATCTGATGGAGGGTTGATGGCACCGCCCTCATGCTATGGATCCACGGCCTTCCAAGCAAAGCATTATACCTCATGTCACATTCGATGACATGAAATTTGGTGTCTTGTATGATTCCGGGTACGTTAACTGGAAGGATGATTTCTCCATTTGTTGTTTCACTTGCCATGTTAAAGCCATTCAAAACTCGAGATGACAGCATGATTTGATTGAGCAACTTGAGCTACTCCACGACCCTTGACCGGATTATATTTGCCAAACTACCTGGATCCACGAGAACACGTTTAACTTGAACTTTATTTAAAAGGATAGAAATTACCAGTGCATCATTGTGAGGCTGAGATAAGGCCTCGATGTGTTCCTCGCTAAATGTGAGGGTGTCCTCGAACATGTAATCCCAAGTCCGTTTTTTCCTTTTGATGGATACTTTGGTACGCTTGAATATAGGTCCTTGTGGGATGTTGACTCCACCGATGATCATGTGACTGACATGTTGAGGTTCTTCAGGTTCATTCTTCCTGCCTGCATCTCTCTCCCTAAAGTGATTCTTAGCTCGATCACTTAGGAATTCTCGAAGGTGGCCCTCATTAACCTAGCCACTTCTTCCCTTAATTACCTGCAATCTTCGGTCTTGTGCCCATGAGTACCGTGATATTTGCACATCAAGTTGGGATTCCTCTGAGAAGGATCGGTCTGTATAGGCTTGGGCCATCTAGTATCTCTACTTTTGCCAATGTCTAAAACGATCCCCGAGGTATCGGCGCTGAAGTTGTACTCCGATAATCTGGGTGCCTCTACCGGTCCCGAGTGCCTGTTAAACCCGATTTGCTCATGAGTCCCTAGGAACTTTGACCTTGATCTACCCTTCGATCATTCTGGGATATGTTACATTTTGATACGTTCCTTCGATCCTCGACGTATGGATGATACCTTTCCTTATTCGATCTTGACCCCCTCTCTGCATTTCCTGACTCCTTTGCTAGTAACCTGCTTGGATAAACTTAGCCCCAGGGGGATCCCAACTGGTCATCCTCGGCCCTAATTTTTGATTTGTACTTGTTATGCACATTTGCGCAAGTCACAACGGGATACTAGACCAAGTTCTACTTCAGCTGCTTCGAAGCTATTGAACTTCATTCATTTAGCCCCTGTGTGAAGGCTTGCATGACCCAATCATCGGAGACTGGTGGTAACTCCATTTGTTCTGATTGGAAACGGGATACAAACTCCCTCAGCTTCTCGTTCTCCCTTTGCTTTACTTTGAATACATCAGACTTCCTTGTTGCAATGTTTATGGCACCTGCATGTGCCTTCACAAATGAGTCTGCCAGCATGGCAAACGAATCAATAGAGTTTGGGGGTAGGTTGTAGTACCAAATCATGACACCTTTAGACGGAGTTTCCCCTAACTTTTTAAGTAAAACAGACTCGATCTCATCGTCTTCTAAATCATTTCCTTTTATGCCACAAGTATATGTGGTGATGTGCTCATTGGGATTAGTGGTTCCGTTGTATTTCAGGATATCTTTCATCCAAAACTTCTTCAGGATGGACTTTGGAACCGCACTCTGGGGGAGTGGTTTTTGCACGAACTTCTTCGAATACAGTCCTTTTAAAATTGGAGGTGCTCCCGGTATCTGGTTGACCCTCGAGTTGTATGTTTAGACTTTTTTGTCATTTTCTTCAATTCTCTTTTCTCCGATCTCTATCCTTTTGGTGAGCTCCTCGAGCATTTTCATAATAGCACGGTCAGTTCCCCAACCATTTTCGACGGGCCTCGTTGGTTCTGGATGCCGATTGTTCACTGATTCGGCTGTGTTGGGGGTGATATTCTGACTCTGAAGTTGAGCAATGCCGACTTGCTGGGCTTGCAGCATTTCAAATATCACCTGGAGGCTGACTCCTCCTTCTTCCATTCCTCATGTTTCCTGGCCTCCGCCCTGGGCTTCCCTGTGTGCATTCCTTATGGGGTCTGTGCCTGTGTCCGTATTTAGAGCGTTGTGAGAACTGATATCATCTGGCTCCACATTAGGCACTCCCCCAGGGTTTACGGGTGGAACACCGACCCCTATACCGCTATTTTCTCCGAGTCTCTTACTGTCATGAGCAGGTGCATTTTGTGTGCTAGACATGTTTAAGCCTAAAATCAAAGAATCTTTGATAAGAAAAAGTGTGAAGAATAACATGTTATCAGAAAACTAGCACTAAAATAATCACTATTATCTTTAGCCCCACGGTGGGCGACAAACTGTTTACCTCGAAAAATGAAAGTAACAATTAAAGATAATTTGTGGTTTTAAAGATATGTGATTTATTTTAATTCTAGTGATTATACAAGTAATATTAAGTTTAAGTAATAAGAATTGATGAACCAAACCAGTGTAACTATAACAAGGGGGACCTCGAGCTCGACTTTCTTTGTGGCCTCGAGGTCAGCTAAGAGCAGTGGAATATGAACAATAAAGTAAAAGCAATAAAGCTGAAAAATACTTGTAGAGCACGTTAAACCAGAAAAGCAGAGTAGAATATTCTATCGCAATGGATAATGCGTCTTACAAAATGATTGGGGTCCCCAGGAGAAAACCCCAATATAGTACATTCTTAATTGAGGTAAAGAATTCTATTGGTACAGGTGTATAACAACCTAGTACGGACCTGTACCATTTCGTACAAATCTTATCCTCTAATTTATGCTCTCATCCACATGTCCTTGAGAAATTTCTGCTCTTTCTTGAGTGCCCTCGAGAATGGACTGCCCTCGATGTAGGCCATGCCAGGTCTTCGATCTGCTTCCCCGAGGTGTGCGTCCTTCAACCGGGTCCGACACCTACTCCGAGTCGCCCGGACTCGGACTCATAGCTTAATTTTCGAAATTTGGCTCCTTGATTTTGACTGTATACAATAATTATGAACAATTTTCATTTCTATCTTCACTACAATCCAAGTATCACGCTGCGATCAAGAAAGAATTAACAAGAAATAAATAGAAAATTATACTCTCTTCGTCAATTTTACTTGTCTGCTATACTAAAATACATTTTCATTTTTATTTCTCCATACTAAATCAAGAGAAAGACAAGTGTTTTTTTCTTTTTTTTTACCCTTATATTCATTTCCCAAGATTTTTGGAAATACTATCATTATTTTGGGTAAATTTTTTTTTTTATATATATACTTCATTTTTATTTTTTCTTAAAGCGGGTACAGAGACAAAATAGACAACTAAAAGTGAAAGAAGGTAGTACAAAAAAATGAAATGTTGAAACTCAAAGAAACTTCTGATAGTTCTAAACATATGCTAGCATTCAATCTATGCTCATTGGTCACAAACCAAAATGGTACTCATTAATATCGGACATAACTTGTAATTCTCCCCTTCTTAACTTATAGTACTGAGTAGCAATAAAAATCAAAATGTTGATCCAAGATGCTGAAGTTCGTTATTATTTACTGTAATTTCAAGTTTCTTGTCTCCAGCTTAATATTTTAAACACGTACATATCATCCATATTTTACATAAATATATTGCTCACAATCACAAACTCATTATATTGTTCATATAGGGACAATCCCATTAAGGTAGTACACAGGCAAATAACATATGTAGACTCAAATCAAAGCCTTATTTTCTTCCATACTAGGAATGGCAAGAAGAGGAATAGCCTTCCTCAAAGTAAGTCCAAACTGTTCCTCCATATCCAAATTCTCTGGTGCCATCCCTTTTGGTAACTTCCAACTAAATGGTTGAACAATAGAAGCCAACATCAAGTTAACCATCCTTATAGCAAGTGGCATTCCAGGACAAATTCTCCGGCCGGCGCCGAACGGTATATACTCAAAGTCCCTTCCTTTGTAATCCACACTTGAATTGATGAATCTTTCAGGCAGAAACTCTAGTGGTTTTTCCCAGTATTTTGGATCTCTCTCAATTGCCCATGCATTTACGAGAACTTGGCTGTTCTTGGGCACAATGAAACCAAATATTTCTGCGTCTTCTTGAGCTTTGTGTGGTAAGAGTAATGGAACTGCTGGATGAAGTCTCATGACTTCTTTTACGACTGCTTGAAGGTATGGAAGTTTGTCAATATCTGACTCTTTTACTGGTCTTTCTGTGCCTATTTGTTGAAGAATTTCTTCTCTTACTTTCCGTAACGTTTGAGGATTTCGAAGAAGTTCTGCCATTGCCCATTCTGTTGTTATGGCGGACGTGTCACTTCCAGCAAGGAATAGATCCTGTCATCAGATCACAAAGCCATGACGTTCACATACAAAAACCTGTTAGCTTCATAGAAATCCAGAGTTTAATATTCTCTTCCCTCTTTTAACTCCAACCAAAGTTAAATTAAGATTTTTCTTCCTTCTTCATTAAAATAATTATTTAGATCACGCTTTATTTTTCTTGCTTTAGTGGAACATTAATTAGTCCCTTCACATGCATATATTCACAACTCCAACATCCAACTTTACATAAATTGTCCTTTTCACTTTAATAATGAAAAGAAAATTCACTTAAACATAAAGAAAAATTAAAACGAAAATAGAAAGGAAAAAAGAGAGGAGAAAAACAACTACCAGGATAAGAGGCTTGATAGTTTGGCGATCAAATCCAGACCCTTCTTCTTCACATTGATC